AGTGACCAAGATGCAAACAGAAAAGAACTAGCAAATAATGTGACAAAGCAACAAAACAAGGATTTAATGGTACAAAAAGGAACTACGATCTCCTAAAAGACCTGGGGAAAAATCAAAACTAAAACTAAAAACACATTTTCTGACAGTTTCCTTCTGTCCATGAATGATTTACATTGTATTACTAAGGGACTCTATAGGCACCCAGACAACCTCCTCTCATTGAAGTTGTTTGGGTGCAATGCCCCTATCCCCCTTAGTCCTGCAATGTAATACATTGCAGTTTTAGAGAAACTGCAATGTTTACATTGCAGCACTAAGACAGCCTCTAGTTGCTGCCTACCATACAGCCACTAGAGGCACTTCCGGGACTTTACCAGACTCTAGGTCGCCTAAATGACTCTGGACATCCTCACACTATGCATGAGGACATTCAGCTTGAGTGAACTCCCCATAGGAAAGCATTAAGGCAAGGGCCTAATGCACTCACTGCACATGCGCACTGCATATATGCATTAATCCCCCCCGTCGGATGATGTCAGAGGAGGCGGAGCACTGACCCAGCACCGAAGGACACTGCGCATGAATCAGGTTAGTACAAAAAGGATTTTTTAAACTTTACTTGAGGGGAAGACCAGAGGGCACTATAGTATTAGGTATAGTATTAATATAGATTTGTATTCCTAACACTATAGAGTCCTTTTAACTGAGGTTGACCTTGTCATCTACTCCTTAATTCATGTTTTGAAATTGTTGTTATATTAATGAGACAATGTGGCTGAGGCTATTGTAGGTTGTATTCCACAGCCCTTTCTTGGACCAGACAATTATAGGAACACTCCCAGTTCCTAAAGCAACACATTGATTCTCTATGAGATGCATTGCGGCAGCAGCACAATGATTGCTTTACAAGCACCCTACCTCCCAAAGTTTTTCTTATTATTATTATCATTAACATATTCTGCAGCGCTTTAATTTATATAAAGGCGATATTTAGAAGTGAATAAGGATCAACTGAAACAAACTTCCAATCGATGAGGATTTGAGGGAGGTGGTTATCTTGTCGAAGGACACTTATAGCTCAGGTGGTATGACCAGGATGTGAATCTGGGTTTCCCAGTTCTAGGGTTATGATTTTACCAATGCTCTAACCCAGGGGTGCCCAAAAGGTACATCCCCAGATATTTGAAAATAATACTGAACAAAATTATAAACGCAACATTTTTGTTTTTGCCCCCTTTTTTCATGAGCTGAACTCAAAGATCTAAGACTTTTTCCATTTACACAAAAGGCCTATTTCTCTCAAATATTGTCCACAAATCTGTCTAAATCTGTGTTAGTGAGCACTTCTCCTCTGCCGAGATAATCCGTCCACGTCACAGGTGTGGCATATCAAGATGCTGATTAGACAGCATGATTACTGCAAAGGTGTGCCTTAGGCTGGCCACAATAAAAGGCCACTCTAAAATGTGCTGTTTTACTGTATTGGGGAGTCTGAAAAGCAGTCAGTGTCTGGATATCTGGATATCCAGTTGCTGGATATTGGCAGGACCTGGAACACACTGGCTCAATGGGTGACATGTCCGGTGAGTATGCTGGTCATGCAAGAACTGGGATGTTTTCAACTTCCAGGAATCGTGGACAGATCCTTGCAACATGGGGCCGTGCATGATCATGCTGCAACATGAGGTGATGATCGTGGATGAATGGCACAACAATGGGCCTCGTCACAGTATCTCTGTGCATTCAAAATGCCATCAATAAAATGCACCTGTGTTCGTTGTCCATAACATACACCTGCCCTTACCATAACCCCACCGCCACCATGGGCCACTCGATCCACAACATTGAAATCAGCAAACCACTCACCTACTGTCAGGTCCCCTGCCCCCGCGCCGCTCGCAGCAACCTTGCTTACCTCATTACAGCGAGCGGCATCATCTGGTCCCTGTCTCCGGACTGGCAGTGTGTCTGATGCTGCACGCTCCAGAGCAGCTTCCTTATATGTGTGCTGCCCCCGGTCATGTGACCCGGCACACATTGATGAGCTCAGAGACCACAAGGGAGGAAAGAAACTCCTCCCACGTGTTGTGGTTAACACTAATTGGAGGTTAGCCAATCAGAAACACCCTGTGTGTATATAAGCTAACCTCTCCCTTGCCTCAGTGCCCTGTTGTGGTCTTTGGTTTACCATTAAGCGTTGCACTTGTTATTTGGATTTCCTGATTACTGATATTTGGCTTTGTCTCTCGTTATTCTGTCTCTCTGTTTCCCTTGACCTTCAGCTTGTATTTTGACTATCCTTTTTGCAAAACCTGACCATTCTAGGGATCGGTATTGCAATTCTCTCTACCTGTCTGCGTGTTAGGGTTCCCTAGTGAACGTTACACCCACACTACGCCATACATGCTGTCTGCCATCTGCCCTGTGCAGTGAAAACCCGGGATTCATACGCGAAGAGAACACCTCTCCAAAGTGCCAGACGGCATTGAATGGGAGCATTTGCCCACTCAAGTCAGTTACAATGACGTACTGCAGTTGGGTTGAGACCCTGATGAGGACATCAAGCATGCAGATGAGCTTCCCTGAGATGGTTTCTGACAGTTTGTGCAGAAATTCTATGGTTATGCAAACCGATTGTTGCAGCAGCTGTCCAGGTGGCTGGTCTCAGACGATCTTGGAGGTGAAGATGCTGGATGTGGAGGACCTGGGCTGGTGTGGTTACATGTGATCTGCAGTTGTGAGGCTGGTTGGATGTACTGCCAAATTCTCTGAAACGCCTTTGGAGATGGCTTGTGGTAGAGAAATGAATATTAAATTCACAGGCAACAGCTCTGGTGGACATTCTTGCAGTCAGCATGCCAATTGCACGCTCACTCAAAACTTGCAACATCTGTGGCATTGTGCTGTGTGATAAAACTGCACATTTTAGAGTGGCCTTTTATTGTGGCTAGCCTATGGCACACCTGTGCAATAATCATGCTGGCTAATCAGCATCTTGAAATGCCACACCTGTGAGGTGGATGGATTATCTCGGCAAAGGAGAAGTGCTCACTAACACAGATTAAGACAGATATGTGAACAATATTTGAGAGAAATAGGCCTTTTGTGTACATAGAAAAAGTCTTAGATCATGAAAAATGGGGGCAAAAACAAGTGTTGCGTTTATAATTTTGTTCAGTGTACATCTTCCATGATGCTTCGTCATTCTAAAGACTTGAAAAGCATTGTGAGAGTTGTAGTTCTACAACATCTACAACATCTACCTTTTGGACACCCTGCTCTATCCATTTCCTCTATGAGAAGCATTCTATTGTCTGTATTGATGATCTCCCAGTGGTAGAACTGTGGTAAGGCGATCCTCTCAGCACCGGATTAGATAAACGTAACTGCTTTATTAGATAGAAAAGGAGGGGGGAGTAAACTTAATAACACTCCAGCATTAAAATAAATGTATTTATTTCTAACACTGTAGTATTCCTTTAACAATTATGACTAGTAATGACTTGGCTTCTGATAAATAAGGAGGGCTCTAGAAGCAGCTGAGAACACAGGTGGAAATGTGTTCAATATCCTGCAGTCTGTGTGTCTGCTTCCTTAGAAAGAAGAAAAATATAATTATGTTTGCTCGACAAAACATGAGACCAGCATTTCTGGTATTATACAGAGAGTGCTGCAAAGGAATTGTAACAAAGGATAAGGATCTTTATTTTCTGACGTGTTTATACTGTCTTTCTCTTAGCTGGTTTGGCTTGTATGATTTAATTGCAGAATGAATACCAGCACGTCAGTACTGGGAAATAAAGGAAAAGATCTGACATTTCCTACTAGTGGTTCAGTGTGCGACAGCACAAGCATGATGACGCTATATCCTGCATCTTCAAGTGGTCCTTTGCCTTATATGAGTCATCAAGGGCTGAATGACTAATGGGGTTCATTCATTAAAACAGCAATTGAGGTGAATTCATGTCGCAATTTTATATTTTAGTCAAAAGATATACCAAAAGATATAAAAATAACAGACTTTCTAGAAATTCCAATTCTGATAGTATGCCCAACAACTTGTGACTCATACCATATAGTTTGTTCTAGACCAGGGATAGGCAACCCTTGGGCCTCCAGATGTTGTGGACCACTTCCCCCATAATGCTCTTACACCCGTAATACTAGCAAAGCATCATGGGAGATTTTTTCCAAAACATCTGGATTGCCTATGCCTGTTCTAGACAAAGGTTGAATAACTGGACTGTTTTACTAATTAACACTCCTCACCATTTGTCTGAATTACCTTTGAATAAAATTCTAAAACACTACTAATTTTTTTTTTTTTAATGTGATGTTTTATGTTTTGTTTAGCTTTTTTGTTCAATATATTTATTAGATATTTAGTTATGGACCTCACATTCCAGTTCAGTCCAGGGGACACATTTCATTGCAGGAGGAGAAACCAAACATGATTTCTGTTTCTCTTACACCACTTACTGTGTTCAATGACAAGGATACAACAACATCACAGTTTCTGGATAAAGGTAAATGCATCAGTGTGAATTTACATATTTAATGTTATTCTTCAGACCTTACAAACACGTTTGTTAAATATGGTGAACATAATATCAAAAATCTTGGGAAATGACAGTTCCCCTTTAACATAATTGAAAAAGTATACTTGTAAAGCTGATGCACAAAGATTTTGACCCAGTGCCCCACACATGGACACTGAATGTATCTCAAGTACCATTTGCTATTCAGCATAGTCATAACTTTGTCATTTGGGTTTTCATGAAAATTCTGAGTTTAGTGAATAACTCTGTTAGTGAAGTGGCTGCATGCATTCTACACCTCCCCATCTGACTTAAAACTTAGCGTAGACCTCATATTTTAAAGCAACTGGGAGCAATGAGTCTTATGGTGCATACTCTGCAGGTATACATGGTTATAAAAATAATAATTAATAATAATGTCAATGTAGTTAACCAGGAAATGTACAATTATACAATTATCTTGTCACTAGTCTACAAGTACATCTTAGATGCCTGTATGTTAGCATCCCTTCTAAATAGAGGACCTGACTATTTATCTGTCTTCTAGAGTTAACCCAACCAGCTGTTGCTATTGTTGTTAAGTAAAATCATCGAGACCTAGCAAGAGCTTAGTGGTAGGCCATGCAAGTTCATAGAATGGTATGAGGACAAAGTATGTGTCCTGAAGATAATGCAAACATCTGTCCAATTATACTTCTCAATAACTATTTCTAGTGAATTAAATGAAATGGGTTTCCAGAGCAGAACACCCTTGCATAAGCCAATCATCACTAGGAGTAATGCTAATTTGCTAAACACTTGTGATAGTATCTTCCATTGGGGCGCTGGAGTGATAAACCAATCTTCCCAATCTGGCAGTTTTATGGATGTCTGGGTTTGGAAGATGCCAGAGAATGCTGTAGCGTGGCTCCCTGTACCCCGGCTGGGATACCTCCACCAAGGATCGCTTCCTAGCTGGAACCGGGGAAACCTCAGTTCTTCTGCCCCAGTTGCCGTGGCTTGACAGGGGTCCTCCTGGAGCCTCTCAGTCCTGGAAAAGGGTAGGGGACTAACTCTATAATCCTCTACGAGCTAGAACAGGCTGCTGAGCAGTGAATAGTCCTTTCCCCTCCCAGTAACTATATGACACATAGTTAAAGACCGGTAAGCTAATTATCTCCCAGGAACAGAGAGCCCAACATAAAACATAAAAGTACCTTAAAACATAATAAAAACATGCAATAATCCAACATATCATACATCCCCAAATAGCCCTGATCTGAGCGCCCAAGTTGTCCAAATAGCGCTCAGATCCATGCAGTGTAGGGAAAATGCCACTGTGTTAAAATTCTGACTGGCCGCACACGTGGTCCTATGCCCAATAAAGTTCCAGGGCATTTGGAGATTTTGTCAGTCAACTTTCGGAAGCTCCTGCATCCGAAATACGGGGTGCTCCGCCTAGCTCTCAGGTAGCGTTTGTTCCCCTGAGTCTCAGCCACCTTCCATTCAAAAAACACTATCCAGGCGGGTTGCAAATGGGTTCAAAACCCCCGACCAACTTCTCCGGGAACCACAGGGTCACCTCATTCTGTAAACAGTTCCATAACATTCACAGCTAAATACCGCTGAGGTGACCGAGGACCCACGAATCCCTCATGCTGAAATTAGTTTCATAGCGCTTGCGGCTAAGTACTGCTGAGAACCCTTCATGGGTTTGGTTCATAGGAACGGCCAACATGGATCTAGTGGTTCCATGCGAATAATGGGAAAGTGCCAAACCAGGGGCACCCAGGGAAAGCTGCTAATGGCTACTGGGCAGGGTAACTCCTGCACAATAGTAAAACAGTAGAATAGATAGGTTTTATTTTTTCAATACATTAAATTATTTTAAAAGTTTACATAAAAAAAACGATGAATTATCTAAAAATCTGATCCCCAAATTGCGGCCAATGTTAGATATGGTTGGGGAAAAGTGGGTTTAAGGTTTGAGAGGAGTTAAACAACAGAGTAAATAGGCATAGCGTGTTTAATGTTAAGAGGCTTACACGTTTAAGAGGGTTTATAGTTGTTGCATTAGGGGTGTTTAGACTTATTGAGTTTAGGGTTAAAGATGGGTTAAATTTTTTATTGCAGTAAATAAGGTATTTAATTTTTAGTTCAATATAGGATTAAATTAAAGATTTTTTTTATTTTTTTTAAATGTTTTGGCTTTGAGTGCCTAAATTAGGAACTAAGGAATGGGTTTGTTTAGGTTTTGGGTGTTAAGGGCGAGAGCGCGATAAAACCAGAAACTTACCTGTCCTGCTTCCATTACACTCAAAACATTTCACTGCTTAGACAAACGCCAAACTGCTTCTTTTACACATCATTACTTTCTCATAGGGACTATTGGCACAAATAAAACCTAGTGTCATGTTCACATCTAAGCTGCATTTATCTGAATGGAAAATCTGTGTTCTGAAGTAGCAGATACAAAACAGTTATTTTGAAAAGGTCAATTGTTGGCCTGGGAGATTGTACTCTAGGAGTTAATGGTCAAACTCTTTTATGATAAGTGCTGTTGTATCTGCTAAAAGCGATGATTGTATATGATTTAGAGCCTCATATTTCAAGTGGTTCATGAGAAATGATCTCTTCCTCCATTGTGGAGGAATTATTTGCATTTTCCAGTGGATGACCTGATTTTATTCTCACAGGAAAGTAACCCACAGTGTCACCAATAATTCCCTGGTTGCTATGGTTGAATTTTCATATTCCTTTTTGTACATCTAAGCAAGTAAATTTATTTTCCCTTTCTGTGTTCTAGGTGTCATGTGAAGCCTGTGCATATTATGGGTGTCACATACCTCCCAAATGTTCCTCTTTAGGAAGAACAGTCCCTATTTGGGGTCCTAATCCCTCTGTCCCTTTTTTCTGTCCTAATGTATTTCTTTTGTATGAGCCTGAGTGTAATACAGAGCTCCATAGCAATAATACTCCCAGTAATGTATTTATTTATTTTTTAAAAACATTTTTTGTTGTATGTGATGTCCCGAACGGTTCGCCGCGGACTCATCATTGAGTAAACTTTGACCCTGTACCTCACATTCAGCAGACACATTCCAGCCAATCAGCAGCAGACCCTCCCTCCCAGACCCTCCCACCTCCTGGACAGCTCACTAAGAATGCAGCTTCAAAATGAATGTAAAATGGATGCTGTCCAGGAGGTGGGAGGGTCTGGGAGGGAGGGTCTGCTGCTGATTGGCTGGAATGTATCTGCTGACTGTGAGGTACAGGGTCAAAGTTTACTCAATGATGAGTCCGTGGCGAACCGTTCGCGAACCGTTCGGCGAACCGTTCGGGACATCACAACATATCATCATTACATATACGCTTGTCATGTCCCAAAAGCAATTGACGAGCTAGAGATCATACCATGCATTGAAACACATTTGGGACATTCAGATAATACGTGCACATTTTTAAGGAGTTAATAAAACATGAGTTAACAATTGCTAGAGTGAAGCTGAGTAGGTACTAGCTAGAGAGACAATACATATCAAGCATTGGTATGGCACTAGCTAATAGCACGGTTTTTAGTAGATTCAGGTTAGGCTCAAAATGTGTATCAGGCTATGCATCCTTATTTAGTTGTGCTAGAAATTCCAGGCTACATAATATATACATCTAACATTCAACATTACACTCTCGATTAAACAGTATAAGTCGGGCCCCAGTGAACTAGCCATAACTTGCAGTGCTATGTTATGTGATGGGGGTAGTCAAAAATAGCTAGGCATGTTAGTCAAGTGCATATGTTAAGCGTGAGGTGGCAGACATAGACTGGGGCTTACTTATGTGTAGGCAAATGATTAATAAATTAATGCAATACTATAATACCCCCTGGGCTCCCCCAGGTTTAAGTCCTTCTCTGGACAGGTCGGCAGGTCGTTGATCGTGGTCCCGGTGTCGTGTTGTGGTGTAGGTCTCTAAGTCATGGAACCAGCTGTGCGAAGCGCTTTTGGCGGTTCATCCAATGCCTCGTTGGGGCCTTGCAGGGACCTGCCATGGATGTCCGTGCGGTCGCATTTCAGTGCGGTGGGTCTGCGGGCGTGGTAGGAGTCGTAGGGGTAGGTCATTTGACTGGAGTGGGGCTACCCCTAAATTGGAGGGTGCCCCAGGCATAACAGAGCTTGGTGTCGTCGGTATTCTACGTTTCGTCGCTCTGTGCAAGTGAGATGCCTGTCTGACTCTCCGCCGCCTTCCCGTGATTTTCGGCCCCACCGAGGCTGCTGGTCATTGCTGTGGGTTGGGTAGTGAATGACAAGGTTGGCAGCTTAAGGTGGGTGTCTGCTGAGCTCGCTGTCGCAACCTGTGCTCTAGTTTGAGCCAGAAGTCTGCGAATATTCGTTCCAGGCTGGACAGTGGGCCTTTTTGTACTTCATGGTAGCCTGCAGGCCGCATGGTATCCACCATCTTTTGTGGGTCTCTTGGCCTTCCGCTCGGTTTCTCCTTTGTTTTTGCCTTGTCTGGGAGGACACCCAGGGGTGGACCGGGATCACCCCCACCGGTGTCCGGGCCACTCCAGGCTGAGAGCTCGGCCGCCGCTCCCGTCCAGTGCACTCCAGACCGCATGCCTTCGTGGGTATAGCCTGTTATCTGCCGTTCACTCACGGGCCGCATCACCAGTTTACTGTGAGGACAGAGAGCCAGTTAGTCGCTTGGAGTCACTTTTTTGCCGTTTGTTGTGGTTTGAGGGTGCCTTTTCAGCCGGTTTAGCAAAGATCTGTAGGGAGCTTCAGTTAGGCACATCTACCCTCCATGACAGTCAGGCCCCCGCCCCCCCAGTAATGTATTTTTAAAGTACAATACGTGTTTTAGAAATCAGTGCTAATAAAATGCATTGCTCTTGTTCTAAATTACATTTTAGTTGCATGAATAGTTATTAGTAACTCACCTAAACTTTCTGAGAGCAGCAAGGCCCAGGCCACCCCTCCTCTACCCCCACTGCCCCTCACACGCCTAAAATTACCCCCCCCCCAGACCCTCCACACGCCTAAAATGATTGAGTCCCGCTTTGTCCATTTGAAATGTTGGGAGGTATGGGTCATGTGAAACCTGCATCGTAGGGTTGCCATCTGGCCGGTATTTTACCGGTATAGCCGGTATTTGATGCACTGTGGCCAGTGCTGATATTGCAAAAATACCGGCAATGTAATTGCCGGTATTTTTCTTTGAAGAGAATGTGCTGCAATATCAGCACCAGCCACCAGGCAATCTGTGTGTGTGTATTCAGCAGTCTGTGTGTGTATGTACTCAGCAATCTGTGCGTGTGTACTCAGCAGTCCATGTGTGTGTGTACTCAGCATTCTGTGTGTGTGTGAACTCAGCAATCTGTGTGTGTGTGTGTGTGTGTGTGTGTGTGTGTGTGTGTGTGTACTCAGCAGTTTGTGTACTCATCAGTGTGTATGTGTGTGTGCAGGGGTGGACTGACCACTTGAGCACATCGGTCATGGACCGAGGGCCCATGGCAGTCAGGGGCCCAGAGCTGCTGTGGCTGGGCAGGGGAGATCAGAGGATCTCCCCAACCAGCCCAACGTTAAAAAAGGCAGCAATTAATTGTGATATCAGCAGGAACCTCTCTGCACCTAGTCTCCGATAAGCTTCCCCGGCGGGAGAGCTCTACATTTGTATTAGAGGTGGGAAATTTCCTCCTCCCT